ATAACCTGATATAGGTTCTAATAATTGTTTTGGTTCATCACTGATACTAAATAAATAACGTTGATTTATTTTTTTTTTGCTACTGGTATCCATTTTTTATTACGATTTCAATCCAACTTATTTTTTTTTCTTTACATGGAGAATAACACCAAATAGCCTTTGTTTGTTTTTTTTATATTCATAAAAACTAATCATCCGTATCAAGCGTTTATATGCAATAGAAATTATTCTCATAACGTAGTTTACTAGTATGAAACAAGATAAAAAAAAAATATCAAGCATCGAATGTAATAATGCTTGTAGACGCGTTAATAATCGTTGTTTTGTTTCTTTGCTTGTCTACTCAGGATGAATCACTCTTGCATATCACTTTGACATAAAATTCAAAATAAACGCAATAATACAGGTGTGATTATTGTAATATGGGTTTTTTTTACTAATATAAAAGCTTTAAAAGTTTTTAAAATGACACCATTTAAAGTAGAACAAAACAAGTATACTTAAGAAATACGAAAGTCTCAATATAAAACAATGTTTTTCATGATAAATTCCACTAATTCTTGTATGACGTATATGTGGAGTTTCATTGTTAAACTTATAGATTATGATTTGAAACATTAGAGAAAATTTGTAATATACTATTTTCCACAACAAAACATTAAGAACATTGATCCGTTTTCTTTTTCTCTCCTATCTGGTTATTTTCATTCACGTGCATATGCGGGTAATAAAGTGCATATCAATGATCAGTTACACATCATAGAAAAAGTCAGTAACTATAAATCAATTTGCACAAATAAATGAAGATAATTTTTTCTTTCTCTCATCTTAAAATGCAAATAAGTTCTAATGAATACAACTGACCATTTATTTTTTCTATGTGAACTATTGACACATATAAGTTCGGGTCAAGTAAACATAAGAGAAAAAGCATCGTTCTCTTTTTTTTTTTCATTTGCAGACATGTCTTTTTTTTATTACTGTAGACTATCGACAAAGAGAAAGTGATGATGAAATCTGATCTTAGCGAACAGATTTCAATTAAGAACACTCTTCGTTCGTTGTCTATTTGCATAATCGGAATCATCATTGATCGGAATATAGAATTGCAAATACGAGAAAAAGAGAGAGAGAAGAAAAAAAGAAGACATCACTATTCATTATTAACGAAACAAAGTGAATCGTCATCGATCAAAAAAAAAGAACATCAATTGATTCAAATATCTAGTCGATTGAAGTTTATGTTAATAAATAAAGCTTATTAACGAAATTTTATTAAGATGATTTTTATCTATTTTATCATTATTATTATGTCATTTGATGGTATTATAGCTACACCTATAACAGAAAACGCTTCAATAAATCGTGTTATAATAATTGCTTCATGTCAAGCAAATAAAAATGTTTTTGAATCAAGTAAGAAAATGTTCTATTCTTATTCGAATAAGATAATTATTATATTACTTATTTTTTTCGTATATACATGTCTAATTTTATTATATTATTACTGTTTCTTTCTTTTTTGTATACATATATATATATATATATATATCAATAGATGATTAGATATTTCTATTCAATCTAATCAATAAGTTCGATTTTGATTAAAATCATAGCCATGAAATAACTTTGTTATATATAAAACTATTGACATACAAAGGAACAGCTTGAAGTAATTCAAAGTTTTTATCCTTAACATTGTCCTCGATAAGTAGAAGACGTACAGATTAGAAAAATGTTAAGAGGATATGAACGCATGTTGTGGTTTGACTGAAATACAAGGACTAACTTGTATAAAGAATTTTCAGATTTGATTTCTTTTTCCGACTTAGTATCATAGAGGTTTCGATTTTTTTGAAAATAAATGTGTTTGTTATAAGATATTGTATGAAATATGAATATTTTGAAAAAAATTTAATTTTAATCATGCAACGTAACAAAAAGTCTTGTTTCTTTTTGTACAAACTATTTAAGTTAGAGCATTGATGTGAGCAAAATTTTAGATTAAACTTTGAAAATATTGTTTTGCTAAAAAAGAAGAATCTTGTTGATAAATCTCAGTAAAAGTTCTATGTCTCAACTAAATTGTACAGACTTTTTCATATATAGGTTTCCTATTTATGAGAAAAATATACAGCTAAAAGTTAAAAATCACTTCGATTAGTTTCTTTTTGTTATTGTTAGTTTAATTTTCTCTTTCTATTTCTGTTCTATCCTCGAGCATTTATTAACGGGAAGTTGGACAACAACATAGCCTATGTATATATGAATGAGTTTTTTTTCTTGTTTGACTCGCTGAATGATGCGATGACATTCTATTTTTTCTTCCAATAATGCTTGCCTGTGGTGTTTTTTTTTTATATGCGTGTCTTTCTGTTTTTTTCTTGTTCACATCATAAAAAAATTATTATAATTCTTCTGCACCAGTATCTTTTTGTTCTTATCATCGTAGTGAATTAGTAGAGAGTCGTCATTCGTTGGCATGCACAAATAAAAAAAAAGATGAGTCTTTTCCTCTTATAGTGTCTCTTTATCGGTCTATCAATTGACATCATCATTATCATTCTTACGCTGTGTATTTCTGTCAGTTCACATTTTCTATAACGATAACAAGAACTATTCATTTGATTCTGATCCATTTTTGTTTATATAAATATATTCTTCTAGAAGAAGCAAAAAAACATAATTCTAATTTACATTTTTTTAGTTTCAATACAAAATACACGTCATTATTATTTTTACTTTGCCAGTCAGTCATCATCACCATCATCATCGACCTTGTCTTCTTCCTCTTCTTTTTTACCATTATTAGATCTATCTTATTGTGAACATCAACAAAGTACTTATTACTCATCAAACGGTTTTTCTATTCTTCATTCTTCGCCACGGTTTCCTTCTAGTGAAATTCTAGACAAGAAAAAATCTTTACCCTTTCATTATTCGAATGCTGTTCTTTCTACTATTGATCAATTATCACCTACTAGCAGTAATATTATCCCATTAATGTCATCATCATCATCATCATCATCAGATAAAAATCTTATCCATATCGATCATAATGATAATATGATATCGACAACAATTAATTCTTTAACAACAAGTTCATTTTCTAATATGAGTCTATTCCATACATCATTACTAACAACACAACAAGAAAGTAAAACATTAAATATTATACTACTTATTGGATGTATAATTGCTGGAATTATTAGTATGATTATTATTTATATAATATTTAAATATTGTTGTAATCGTGATAAAGGTTCATATAAAATTGATGAAAGTAAAAATTTTACTACAAAATCTCATTTGGATAATACTGATGCTAGTGGTTGTACTGGTAAAATCTTATTATCAAATCATCATCGACAAAACTTATTAACAACAAATGAAGAAAATATAATTGATTCGAAAGAATGGTATGTGTAACTAGAACAAAAAAAATATTATTTAATGTTCTTCTTTCTCTTTTTTTTTTGTAAATAAAAAAAGAAAATCATGAAAAAAAGAAGATTACACAAAGTCATATTTAAGAATCGACAGGTGATTTATCTGAGGAGAGTTTGTTCATAATCGAGTTATAATGTGGTTTAGTGATTACAAATGTAGTAGTCGATGGTACATCAATTTCTCTAAAATAAAATTAAAAAATTTAATTTCATAGTGATTGAAAAATCAATTTCTACCTATTATTTTCTTTGGAATCAATAAAACGAACAGTTAATGTTTTTTGATCATTAGATTTAGTTATAACTAGTGCTAATTTATAAATATACTGATCATTATCCATAGCTAAAACATAATCATTTGGTTGACATTGAATAGGTGTAGTAAATGCTCCAAATAAATATTCTTCTTCTTGTTCACTTTTTTTTTCATCACACCATTGAATAATATATGTATGACCATATCCAACACGTTTAATTATTGTACCTAACATAAATATCTTTTCTGGACTATTTAAACCAACAATAACATGGTCAATGAGGGCTTTTTCGTATTCAATGCGATGTTTTGTATAATTTTCAAAAGTTTTTTCACTAATTGGTATTACCATTTCATTATTTGATATATCTTTAATCATACAATCATAAAAACGAACTTGTCTTGTCTCTTTTTCATTATCAGAAGGAAGAATTACAGCAGGTTTCCAACAATCGGGAAGATGTTCTCGATATTCAACAAGAATGCATGATTTAGCCTATATTTAGAAAAAGAAAATACACATGTCTATGCTTCTCTTATAGATACATATTGGTCAACTTACAGGTAAAGTTTTTACACGTTTAAGCTCTGATTCTAGAAATATGTTTTCACGTAAAATAATGGTTTCAATATCAGGCAAACTAGATCGTTGGACAATATAATTATTTGAATCCTCTTGCTTTCTTAATACAATACCCTAGAAACAAAATAGATGAGTTTATTAGATGCATTATAAGTTCTCAAGCACATTAATCTCTTTGGAATATTATTGATCCTAGTGGTCTATACTGAAATACTCAATTATAAAGAGATTATTTTTCTTTACTTAGGTAATAAATGTAAGTCTTGCAGTATATTATTTAAAAATCAATTAAATTTTTAACAAACCTCATGAACAAGTCTATCATCATTCAACCATAGAGCATAGACATGTGTATTTGGTTTAATAAAATCTATTAGTGGTGTTGGTGGCTTCGAACTGGGTGGTTGGGGTACATCTGGCGAGTGTTGTTCATTTACTATTGGTTTTAATGATATTTGAGCTGTTTGAGTCGATTCAAATCTAACTTCTCTTTTCGGTGTTCTTTCTTGTAAATTTCTAATTACATCCATTTGATCTTCAAGTTTCTAGAAGAAAATAAAATAATTCATTGGTTTGTTTGTTTTTTTTGAAAATTTATTTTCTACTGTTTTAAGTTCATTGTAATGTTTCTTATGCGATTCATGAAGATGTTCAACTTTTGTTTTTATTGGTCCAAGTTGCGTATGAAGAGCATCTAGACATTAAATTAATTAGAAGAGAGATATTGATTGAATTACAAAAAAACAATACCTTGTAAAGAAGAATTTTCTTGTAATTCATTAGTATTTCCAACGCTTGGTCCACGTTTATGACTAAATATTATGATTTATTAGATATAAATGAATGAAATCACTTACTTGAGAATTTGAAGATATGAAAGAGTTCGTTGAAAAAGACTTAAACTTATTTTAAGTATATCACGACGATATACATTAACCTAAATAGAAATATTTTAATATGTATCTCTATTAACTAATATTCATACTCGACATGCAGTTGGAGTATATATTTGTACCATATATAAAGGAGGTGGTTGAGCAACTGGTGATGGAAGAACCATTACAATACCAGGTACCCAAAACTCTTCATTTCTATTCTTCTGACGAACAAGAACACAATCTTCTACAAATAAATTTGGTTGAGCAATGGCACCATTTGTTGGTAATAGAATATGGCCAATTGCTACTTGTTCTATACCCATGTCAAAATGAATCATTGTTTCACCATCTTCACCTTTTTGTATAGTTCCTATTTTACAAACTTTTTGAATAGATAATATAAAAAAAGATTTTTTTTTACTACCAGGATGAAAGAATCCATCAGCATCAAAACGACAAATAACACGTTGATGAAAATTTCGCTCTGATGATGGTTTTCTTTTAAGTTTTGGTTTTTGTTCTTCTTTTGGTTTGGAATCCAACTATTTGTCATTTATGATTTAATTTATAAAAAAATAGAAAAAAAAAAACAAAGCTTACATCAGCACGTTTTTGTAATTGACGTAAATCAGTTGATATTTGTAAGAATTTAGTAGCACGATGAATTTCGACATCCATACGAGCAATACCTTTTAATGCTGATTCAGCTTCAGCTTCTTTTAATGCATTCTTCAACAAAGTTTGATTTTTATCTTCATAAACTACAGGTTTTTGTAATAGACTATTTTCATAAGAAAAAATTTATATAGAAAAACAAATGAGGAAAGAAAACAAGAACATTTTTACTCATTCTGTTCTGTTTCGGTCAACTTTATCCAAGCAAAATTTTCTAATGCACTAAAATTAGATAAAACAAAAAAAATATATATATTCAATTTAAGAAGATCTATCTGAGGTTAGACTACCTTTGACTGGTATATTCTTCTGTACTTATCTCTTTAGTGATTCTAAAATGAAAACTTTTGTAGAAAAGAAATTTTGGTTGATTATTAATTTACTTATTTTGTTCGTCTTTTGATAAACTATGCCAGTGAAGATATGGACCAAGTCTAGAAAGAAATCAATATTCATCATCATTTTTAAATAAAAGTACAAAAATAACTGATCATTATAAGGTAGATCTCGATGAACTGAATAAAAGTTGTCATGGAGTCACAATTGTCTATTGCTTCATACCCATAGATTCTGAGTGTACAAGAATAAGAGGATCTCAAGCATTCTCACTATATATATCAATGTTTTTTTTTCAAATCGAAGTTTTTTGCTATAGCAACTAGAGTTAATTCTGTGTGTTTTCTTTGAAGTAAGTTGTTTTTAAGACGTAAGAGAGTCAACATATCGATAGCAATAACATACTAGTAGAAAACGCTTTTTTCTACTGATGTCTATTTTGTAAAAATTTTGCTAAGCATAAATTTGAACTCAATTGTTCGTAGCGTACAAGAGGAAAAGAGAGAGTTTCTTTTCAATCGAGAAAAGGGCCGAGATAGTCTTACGCTGAATATGAATCTTATGTTTGAATTTGAGAAAAATGAACTGATTGTATTTTTTTCTTAAGTAATTTACGAACAAATAAAGATGATCGATTTCATTTAAATAAACATCTCAGCACAGCCTCTTTGGAGTTAAAATATGGTACTCAAAATTAACATTATTATCACTATTTTTATATCCATTGATTTAACTGTGAAATAAGCCTGTTGTACATATTCATTATATCTATAGCAGGTCTATTATTTATCTTAATAAACTTACAAATACTGATATCGATTATTTCACAAAGTAGTAACATGAACAGTTAACCTTTTTTATCTTGATTATATGATGACTGTCGTTGCAACTGTTTAAAATTTCAAAGAAAGCTTTGTAATGTTCTCGAATAGTCTAAGCCTTTTTATTAATCGTTCAGCACCTATTTTTTCCTTGATAATGAACAATGAAAAAGGAATCTAGCAACTGTTGTTTTTGGTTGCTATGGAAACGTAAATAACAATTGTTGGTCTCTGCTACTCTCCGGTTGCTAGGGCTTATGAAAGAGAGAGAGAGTCAGAAAAATTCTCACTTTAAATTTATATTAAATATTTTCGAAGATAATATGTCAGTTTCACAAAATAGATCTATCGTTTTTAAACTGTTCTTATATTAGAATGCTGAGTAGATTACTCACTTTCGTTTGTCGTCGTCATTTAAATGTTTCCAAATAAAGTTTGAAGTAAATCTACATATAAACAAATAATTTAACTAATTTAATTATTTATTCAGATATCTTACTGATAATAATTAGTAAGAAGTTCTTTCAATTTAACTTCATATTTTTCTAAATCCACAGCATAATGATTCACTAAACGTAATTTACCAACATATGATCCATATGTTAATGGTAATATCTAATATAAAATAATATATATATATATTGTGAGACTAAATTTAATTAACTTATATATAACTTACATCATCCCAAACTTTAGCAAGAACATAACGATCTATCACTTGAATATGATGTGGATCTTTTACTGTTATTGATGTTGGATAAAGTACATCGAAGATTGTTAAACCTTTTGAAACTAAACTATTTTTTTTCAGATATGATTTAACTTCATTATAAGGAGTTCTGTGAAAGAGAAAAATAAAATATCAAAAAAATTTCAATATAAAATTTACCGGATTGTTTTTGTTTTAGTTGTAACAACTGCCGAAAAAACAAAAAAGTAAAATTCTTATTTGATTGATAAATTCTTAATTAAGTTTACTTTCTACATCATGTTGATCTTCTGTATCAGATATTGCTTTTTCTTTATTATTATTATTATTTATTTTTAAATATTCTTGCGTTTCTGGTAAAAGCCATCGATCAGAATTTAAATTAATAACATGACTATATTGTATCAGATTACTTGCTAAATAAATAAATAAATAAATTCTATTTAAAAACAATATTGTATTGAGTTTTTTATCATATACCTGATTGGGGTCGTCGTTGACGGCTTCGATTTGTTGTTGAACTTTTTTTTTTCGTTGTTCGGTGTGACATTGTAGCTATTAAAAAATATTAATTCTCTTCAATTCATATGTTTGTTCGTTTACAAAAAGAAGAAAAACGAAAATTTATAACTGTATTGTTCTTCTCGACCTAACTTTAACGATAAGAAATAAAACGCTTCGAAGAGAACAAGAAAATTTTATTTTTTCTTTCTGTTTTTTAAAAGAAGACGTTTCTCTTCAAAAGTACGTCAAAGACACGTATCAACCTGTCAGCAAGAAAAAAAATCTCAATAGGCAGTTTAAAATCAAATCGAATAAAAGGAAGTTTTTAAGTAAATAAGTCTTGATTGCAATTCATAAGATAAATATTTATAGGAATTGAATTTTTTCTGCCAGGTTACCGGTAAATATGAAAAATCGCACGTGCTCGATGTTATTCTATATATATTTATTTAATCTCATATATACACTAAGGGTTAATTGAATTCAAAGCCAAACTCTATCATGGTTCTTCTTTGTAAGAGATATTTTTTGAACATCTTTTTTTTTTATTACAAAATATAAGTAAAATATTTCACTCTTTCGACTAAAACCTAATTGAGTTTAATGAGCTAAATGATTAATTAGTTAAAACTCAATTAGATAACTATTTAATAAATCAAAACCTGATTCTCTAATTAGTCAAAACTGTATTAGTTGTCTAATTAGTTAATAATGTAATTAGAAAATAATTCGCTCTCTTACCTCATACTGGACAAGTTCAAGAACTTTAGAATCAATTCCACACCACAAACTATAACTAGCTACCAATGACAAAGTGTTTGCGAATCGTATTTTTTGATGGATACTTTTATCAATAGCCAGCTACAAAAGCAATACAATGTTCTCAGAAGATTATTTTATTTGTAGAATTTTGTAGAAATTGTTGTACTGATCATTTTAATAAAAAAAAAGCTATCCAAATTTACTTGATAAATCATCGTGATAGGGTCAAAAATACTCGAAAATGTTAACTACTGCTCAGTAGCAGCCAGATATAGCCGAAGGTTTTGAGTATTATAACCCTATCATCATGATTTATTGCGTAAAGCTTTTTATTAAAATGATCAACGCAACGACCTCTACAAAGTTCTACGGACAAAGGAAGTCTTCTGAGAGTCTTGTGTGATTTTTACAGTTGACTACTCATGGAACTATTCATCGACAACCTGAACCGCAAACATTTAGCCGTTGATAGTATGATGAAACTTATAGCAAAACCAAACTTCAAAATGTTGTTTCATGCAATCAGATTTTCTGAAGTCTATTAATGTCCTAAAGTGAAACTTTTTGTTTTGGTATTAAATTCAAAATCTCAAATAAAGATTTTGACCGTTTAAATTTCATTTTTGAACTTCTCATTCAACTACATGAGGATACTTCATCTCTATAATCGTACTTATTCGCATCACTAACAACAAATAAACTGAAAGTTTTGGAGACACTTTGCATAGAAATTCTTGCAGTCTGAAGAGTCCTTTACAACGAACTGTTTAACTTTCGAAAATATTGTTTGAACTTGTATTATTTAGCAATGGCAACGAGCACAGTGAAAATCTTTATTTTTTTGCATGTTACATTGCTAACACCAGTTATTCAATAGTAAATTGACGGTATAAAGATCTATAGATTGAGCTCTTTTTAGCATATCTAGACTAAACCAGCATACTTCTGTTGTATAAAAATTAGCTGAAAGACATTCAAGAGCCTAGTGATAAATGCATTTTTATCTTGCGAAATCGAACCGCTGACAAATGCAATTGCTCATATATCAAAAATTTTTTTGATTGTTGTCAGATATTAATAAATGGGTCAAACATGTATTGAAAATAAAAATTACTCGAGGTTAGTCTCTACTGGATAAAAATACAAGTCTAATCTACATTCGTCGAACTAGTTTCTGTGTAAAATTTATGAATAAATTGCATTTATATTGTATAGCACAAAACTCTTGACACAAGCTATTCGCTCATTTTTCAGCTATTAAAAGACAGCTGTTGAGAGCAAAAGTCAGATTTTTTTACTATTTCTGAACATATGTTTAGATTTTTCTTCTGCATTATGATTACACAACTATTAATAAATTTAGCTTCAACTCAACACGATTGTACAATACTGAATTCTGTACAAAATAAGATCTTAAAACAAGCGAAATCTTCATCTATGCATTTCCACTAAAGAACTAGTTTCTGTGATAATTACTGTTCGCTTTTTTAAAGACTGCTGTTAAAAATAGAAAAATTTTTAAAGTTCGTTATGGAAAAGTACATAGAGTGTTGGGTAAAGAAAGCTTTCGTCCAGAGTTGTCGCTATATTTTGGGGTGGAAGGGACTCAAAAAAATGATTCGATAGAAAAGTGCTTTCATTCTCGAAGTTCTAGAAGTGGCGACTGAGAAAACAATACAAAACTCTCTGTGACGCGGCTCCGCCCATAAGAGACAACCTGTCATCAAACCACCCGTCCCGTAACGATATTATCTGCTGATTTTTATTTTCATTTTTACCAGAGAGAATCAAATAGTGTTTAAAAATCCAATTTCTGTTCAAATTTATTACAAAGCTGTAAAAAGTCTCGCAGAAAGTTGGACATTATAACAAGAGAAAGCTTCTTGCTCCTAATCAAGAACCTTTTCTTGCTCGATTAAAATGAGCCATTAAAAACTATTTCTTATTTTGAATTTGATAGGTTTCAACCGACATAAAAAATTGACTAAAGTTGTACTCTGCATAACCAATCTTTTTAGACTTTTTTGAAACAATTCGATGATAATTGTTTCATCTTACTTCAGACGAAAGTTCCAAATATATCTTTGAACAGAACGAAAAATTTAATTTCTAATTAACTGTTTCTACATCTAATCAGTTGTCTCTACGTGACTGAGAAATCAATCAATACTTCGACCTAAGAGTTTTATTTCCATAGGTTAACTGTTTTGATAAATCATAAACAGTAATCCTGAATAATTACCGATTATAATCGATTAATCTTCTATTAAATAATGATTCTTGCTTACCGCTTTTTGGTCGAAATAATGCATCAAGTGTACTTTGACTTTTAACTTGAAATGACACAGATTTATCAGTATTATTAATTTGTTGACTTTTAGATTTTGACATTTTTGGTTGTATATTTTCACGTGACCATGCTCGACCTAAACATTCATCACGCAGAGCAGCTATACGTTCTAATTCTTTTTCTCCACGTATTAATTCTTTTTTAAGACTACCAACATCTTCACTCTATTGATTTGAAAAAAAAATTAAGTTCTTTTTTTTGAAACACTTTGTTTTTTTTGTGAATAAAAACCTCAGGTATTTCAATTGTTGATTGTTTTTCAAATCCATAACTAAATGTATGAAAACGTCCACCTGTTTGTTTAGCTAAATCAAAAAGAAATTGATTTGCTGTTTGATCATTACAATTAAAAGCTATTGTATGTATTGGAACTGTTTGACGATATTGAACTTGTGAAAGAATATGTCGTTCTTTCTAGAAATTTATATTTTAAATCAGATTTTATTTTTTTTTGTGTACTAAAATCTTACTTGATCAGGTCGTCCATCAGTTAAAAGATAAATAGCTTCAGTAGCTGGATCAGCAAGTGCAAAACGAAGTGCAGCTAATGTATTTGTTGATCCTTCAGCATTAAGTCCATCAATCCATGGTTGAAGTTGAGAATATGTTGTTGAATCATTTATTTTTGTTAAACGATCACGCCATGGATTAACTATAGAATTAAATGCAACAACATTAATACGTTCTTTAGCAAATAATTGATCCTAGAAATCAGATTTTTGTTTTTGTTTGGATAATCATTTATCGTTTAAATATTTGAAAACATACTTGTATAAGTAAACGAAGTTTTTCTTTAACAAAACTTAAATGATGATGCATACTTTGTGACGTATCAATTAAAACATAGATATTATTTTCTAAAACTGTACCAAATACATCTCGACTGCCTTTCTTTAGCCATGCTAATCTAAGAATTTAAAAATAAAATTATTCATAAATCATGATTAGAGTATCTATGTAATTACCTTGCTTTAATTTTTTCAAGTAAAGCTCGTATTCGTCTTTCATAATCCCTAAAAGAAACCAAATTATAAAAAGAAATTGATAGGCTAAGTCTATACCGATATAATTCTGGTGTAACATAAACATGTCGAATGGTTCCATCTGGCCAAGTGACATGTGCAAATTCATCACAATATATTGCATTTACTAATTTTTCTTGAGGATTCTAAAAAAAAAGAATTCATAAACTGATCGAATGTTACAGTAGTGAAAGCGGTGCCCTTCCAAAAATCAAATTGACTCGATGGAAGATAAAATTAAGTTTATTTTTGCTTGAAACATACTTTTCTTTTTCTTTATGAGTGTAGAACGATGGTGTTTTTTTTTTGTTTTTAATAATAAAAATAATTTTTATAACAATGATATTCATGCCTTTGAAAATATTCGAGATATTAATTTCAAAAACAAAAAGAAAATCTTCTTTTTGCGATAAAATTAGCATTCGATCAAATCATATAAGTGAAAAAGAATTTATATGATTTATGCGAACTTACAGCTGGAGTACTTGCAGTTACATCATCGGAATTGTCTGGTGGTTTTAGTAATTTAACAACTCCATCACAATGTCGAAATGCTGCTGCTTGAAGAATAGAAAAAAAATCAAGTTTTTGTGCATCGATGCCATAAGCTTTTAACCAATCGGCTGATGTCATATCTTTTTCTTCATTATTAAATAAAGCAGATGATTGAACAACAAGACTACGTTGAAAATTATTATCACCAGATACATTAAATGCATCTATTGATTTTGATGCTAAAAAAAAATCATTTAATTAATTTGAAAAATGAAAAATAAATATCTTTTTCTTTTCGTACAATCAAATGATTTTAGTGGATTTTGATTTTCATCTTTTATAAATCCAAGAATTTTTTCTATTCGATCAATTATATTTTGACATTCAATTGCTTCTTTATACATTAATGTTATATCAAGTGGATATTCAGGTAGAGGTGTTAAAGCATTTGTACCCATTTGTAATTTATCATCTTGTAATTTAATTCGTGTTGGATCATTTAAATTTGATGGAGCTTTTAAATCAGATATTTCATTTTTAATTTTATAAGAAAAATAACTATTCAAAAAAGAAAAACAAAACCAAAGAATATAATAGAAAAACTTTAATGTTTAATACAAACCTTCCATCAGTACTTTGTGCAATTGAACGAAGAAATACTTGTGTATCATTATTATTACAAAATAATGAAACAACATGAAGAGGTATTGGAGAAGTTGATGAAAGACGTGTTTTAACTATATTGTCACGTAACATTTCACGAGCTAAATCGGATGAATCACCTTCACTAATTAAATAAATACTATGAACCTAATTAAAAATTTCAATAAATAGGTTAATATATATATAATTATATATTCAATAATATTTACATTATTATTAAATGCTTTAAGAATGGCTTCGCATGTTGCGCTTATAGATATTTTATTTCGAGGACATTTTCGATCACATATCCAATCAATCTGAATAAATAAATAAAAAAAAACAAATTGGAAATTAATAGTTGAACTGTTGAATGTCGATTTATTGAAAAAAAAATACTTTCTTCGTATATAATTAACACAATGAGAACGAATAGAAGTAGACTGTAAGTTGCTATTCTTCAATAAGAATCAGAGTGAGAATAATATAAAGAAAGACAAATGTCTTGAATACATATAAATGACTACTTGTAATGATCAACGTGTGGTCAGAGAGTGGTCCGACTGGTGTAAACGACCCGTCCAACCTTGAAAAGTTTTCTTTTTTTCCAATGAAGTTCTTCATTGCATTGCTTTTTTTTCGCACATCAATTTTCCAAAAAACCTCTCAACCCTATCGACCTTGGCATACGTCTACAAGAATTCATCGCTATTCATATGAAATGATTAACTTTGATTAGTGTATTGAAACAATAGCAACTTTAAGAGATGAGTTTTTTTTCAAGATTGTTTTTTAATAAATGTTCCTTTCAATATTAAATCAGTTCAAAAGAGTAAGAAGCTTTTCTTTGGAATAATGAGCTTTTCAATGCCAAAAAAGAGTACCCAATAGATTCTACCTCATGAGTAGGAGCTAATTACACCTTGGTTATCGGGTCAAAATTGCTTGAGAAATGTGTAGTGTACTAATTGTCGAATATAAAGAATAAAAAATATCTCGGAGCTACTATCAAATTCGAATTAGAAAAAGCTTGTTAAAAGTATTACAGTGGTCTAGTCTCGATCCGAGTTTTCTTTTTGAACTCGATGGATTCTACCCATCAATCTTTCAAAGACTATACAACTCAGATGTCAGACTTGATAGAATCATTTTCATAGTAGCCATTAGAATTATATATCACGATCTATTAAGTATGTATAATCTGTTTGCATAAGGATATCATATTCATGAACAATCATGTTTCACAAATGAGTCACCATTTGAAATCGAAAATGACTCCGTATCAGAAACTCGAACCCATAAGAAATCGTCTCTTTGCGTTGTACTTCCCAAGTGAGCACAGTTTTACTGAAGTTTTTGATTTCTAGCAACATATGTATGAAAAATCGAATTATGAAGTTTCAACCTGAACTTTAGAATATCCTGAAAATTTGACTTCATAAATATGTGTTGTTCTAGAAATATCCAATGTTGAAAATACTCGACTTTCTTACCTTTCTTTTTGACACAATATTGTTTTTGGAAATTCAATATCTCAAGAAGAACACATCTGAAATTTTTTGGAGACATTCTAATACTCATGAAGTCGCATTATCAGCAAAACTTCAAAATTCGTTTTTTTTCACAAAGATTTTGCCACAGATAAAAAATTCACTAAAACCGTTATAATTTAAGAGGCACAGCGCATTGGGACAAGTCACTATAGGCTTTTACTAGTCTTCTTAAGCTCTATCAATGAAGAAAAATATCAGTTCGATTGAGAACATTTCCTCGTTAACAATATATAAGATTTTATTATAATTTTCGAAAACATCTATTTTGAGGTTTTTCTTATCAATCAAACTTACGGCTTGATCAATATTCGATGCATTAGCATCGATAGGTTGTTCTCGAAATTGTTCATTATCATTTGAAACCCTAAAAATAGTTTTATAAACATAAATAAATAAATAATTTAACATTATATTGAAAATTTTCTTTACCAAATAATATTAAATTTTTTTATTTTACTAATTTGTTCTTTAAGTAAATTTGTTAAAGATATTTGAAATTGATTAAATATTCCATGATCAAAATTTTTACAATCACATACAAGACATACACTTGGTTCACCAATTATTCCAAATAGACGACGTGAACCATTCGTTATAAATAATAAACGTTTTCGTAATAAATTTAACATTCGTATTAAACGATGATGATATTCACGTAATTTTTCTGGTCGACATGTTAACTAAAAATTCAAATCATTTAGAAAAAGCAAACAAAAACATATTATAGTTCGATCATACGACATATCGATCACCGTTATCTTGTTGTACTTCATGATAAAGATTACCAGCATATTTAGCGGTAATAGTTTTACCAATTACTGGATCGAAACCTACAATACCACAAAAAAGATTTTCATTAAAAAGCATATTTTTCATAACTAAAGCTGTTCACAGGCTTATCACGAAACTTTCTAAGACGTCCTCAAGTTCGGTTTCAATAATGCTCTTTTTTGATCCTATAGATAATAATAATAATAGTTAAGTCTTCAATCTTTCGGAAAACTTCACCAGAGTTAGTTTTAGACCGACAATTGATGAAATAACTTGTAAAGCTTGATTTAAAAAAGAGAATGATGAAAGTGACGTCTTGAGAATCTATGCGTTTGATTGGTTCTAAACAAATAAGATATGCTGTTTCGTTCAAGTGCAATATGAAAAATACTAAGAGGTTCATTCATTGTGGACTACTCATTATGTCTTCTTTTCTAGATGTAATCAGTTTTGAAAAACCTGTTTTTATCTTGAATATTGACATGAAATTGTATATCCATAGAAAATTCAAGTAGAATAACTTACAAAAACAAGTTCACAAGTTTTCAACGAAGTTTCTTTTTTTTCGTACTCAGTGACTAGTGAATCCTACAAATTTCTCAGACGACGAGGATTTGTCGTGTCCAAAATTTTTGGACATAATCAGGTTCGGATCTGAGATAAACTCGATAAACTCTCATAAACACATTTGAGAAGGTTCTCTCATTAATTATAATTGAAGATCGAAGTTTTTGAATCGTAAATCAAACGATTGGAAGTAATAGTTTGTAATCTACTTTATTAGTTCAATTGACAAAATGTTTATAGACTTTTCTGCATTCATTAATATCTTATTTCGAATACAAATATATATAGATACATCAATTATACTCAAAAATACAACATACGTCAATATATATCAAAATAAAAGATTTGTAAATGCATCCAAAAAAAAAACAGAGTGTCATTTTACAGGTTTCTCTTGCCTTGAAGTTGATTAAAAATTGAAATTTTCTTTCTATACTTGAAAACGAAATATTCATTATTAGATCATACCCTTCAATATATCAAGTTATTACAAAATTATTTTCATTCTTTCCTTTATAATTAGCGTTGCTATGACTTTACTAATTCTCAATATCTAAATAAGTGTCTAACAAAAAATAAAACAACTTAATCTTAAACTATTTTCTAAAGTTCGATTTCTTAGAAAAATATTTTCATTGAAAAAAAAAAGAAAACAAAACCAACTTTCAACACGTTTGAATCCAATCTGTTGAAGAATCTGATCGAAAGTTAATTTTTGTGATTTAAGACCATAACGTTGAATCCATTCTTTACTTTTTAACTAATCAAAAACAAAAAAAATATTTTCATTAATTTAAAATCATATATAATCAATTCTTTAATCTACTTGACTATATAAATAAGGTGGATCTGTACTAGAACCAGTTGAAGCTATATAAGATGATGTAGTTAAATCAAAATTACGTGATTGACCAGGTGTTATTGAATATGGTATGGCAAGTAGAGCAGCAGATGAAGCAGAAAATGAAGCTCGCTCAGTTTTAGATGTCATCATTCAATATAAATCACAAATCGAATAATCATTTAAATATCATATTGACAAGGTTTTTTTTACATTGCCATTGTAGAGTTTGTTGTTATGGTAAGTTTATAAACAAATAATTATTATATATAAATACAATATTTTATTGAAATATGAAAAAATTGTATTTTTTTATTTTATTATATATAGTTTTTTTAAGAATTTCTTTAATATTTTTATAGATGATTCTTCATTTGAAATGGATATATAATTAACGAATCAAAAAATAGAATGAATCATTCATTTCCATTTTTTTTTGTACTTTTTTTGTATTTTGTATATATGAGTTCATGTCGTAATCTCTGTAGATTTTTAGATAAAGAAATAAAATGTTGAAAACTATCTTGCGTCATGGATGTCGTCTTCGACCAGTATTCAATATGCGTTTATCGACTTCATTAGGTAATCGTTTACATACACTATCTCCATCTAATACATATCAAAATGGTCAAGTAAATGAATGAAAGAAAAATTTAATTTCGATTATTAACAGTTTTATTTGAATAGGTTTGGCCATATGTTTTTGTATTACGTCGTACATCAATACTTGATCAACATGTTAAAGATGCTGGTCAAATGCGTACACCACCTCCATTGACACCGCGTGATATTGAATCACGAGTATTACGTATTTGTAATGAATATGATAAAATTCAAGAAGCACATAAAAATAAGGTGAATATTGTTTTTAACAAGATTAATTTCTTTGAAAATAGAGAATGATCGGTAAATGAATATATTTATATGAACTTTGAATATTGATGTCGAAGCTTTAAATGATATACGATTAATTAGTATTTGTTCTTCAAATATTCTAATTAAACAATAAATTTTACAGAAGTATAATCAGAAAGTAATAAGTGATCATTTTGTGTGTTTATTTCTCACAAATTATTTAATCAAAAAATAATTATATGAGCAAACAGTTTAAAATGAAATAAAAACAAATATTTCGTCTGATTGAAAGTCTTTTGTTTCATACGTCATATACCTATTGCATTCTGCTTGTCAATTTATTTAGATCATTTTTGATTATTTTTACTTTTTTTTTTTTTTGGGCTATACTAGTTTTGGTCATGTAGTCAGTGACAAATGAATGAAATATGTTACTATTTATTTCTTTCAAATTATACTACATATTATATTCTTGTGCTTTTACGACTGTTCATTTAAAAAAAGAAGATATGACTCAATTGTATGTCATTGAAAACATCGGCAGAAATATTCTATGTTCATAAAGAGATCATTTTCTGCTTACATAGAAGCTAAATTTGTTGAAATGAGAAATTATAGAATAATCTTTATTCAAATGTATGAATCTTTTCTGAAATGAAAACTAATTCATACGTTAAGCGTCAGTTAGAGACTCCTGAAGTATTTTTTTTTGTATGAGAGAATGAATTGAAAATAAAACATGTAACTAAAACTTTCCTCGAAGAATAAAAGAAATATATTATAAAATAATAAAAATTTTAATAATCATTTGAAACATATAAACAGATATAGAATACTGAACTTAGGATTGACCAAAAGTTCTGATAATATTAAATGAAAAAAGAGACATATTTTTTATAAATGTTCGAAATAGTTGCCAAAGTTATTTGTATAAAGTTCATTTCTTTCTGCCAATTAGTTAAACTTTTTTTGTATCGCTTATTTTGATATAATTTTAACTAACTTCAAAACCACAGAAATAAATCATATTAGTTAAACTATGTTCGCTATAATTACTTAATCAAAGATTATATTGTGTCAAGTCAGGCAGATATGACCCATGTAACATTACATTGATGCTTTGCTTTTTTTAACAATTCATAAAATTGGATGAGTATGAACTCAACAAAAATCGACAAACAATGTTGTATTTTTTGCACTTGTTATTTTTGTTTATTTCCATAGTTCGTTAACAGAAAGCTTCAAACGTTTTTCGATATAATAGTTATGATATATAGTCTTCTCCATATCTATATTACATAAAAGCATAGAAGCATTTGATTTAAGGGCCCCCTCCCCCCTCAGAAATGATTTTCCACTTAGAATGGATCTTTTGAGCTGAAAATTTCAGGGATGAGTGATCCTAGAGAGATACGTCTCTGGTAAAAATTTCAGCCCGATTGGCCATACTAGACCGGAGTTTCAGCTGATTCATAGGCCATTTTTAGCCTTCAGGAGAATCTGGATAAATTTGTCGCAATACGAGGTATAGAGCTCGGGGTGGTTTCAAATTAAAGCCAATGTCAGTACGCAACTTTTCATCAACCAGAATTTTAAAATTCCATATTGTTCATTTTTTATGAATATTTTAGTAAGCATGTCTTAAAAAAACCATAAAAAACAGCGATCTGACGACAATAAATTCCACTTTTCTCAGCCCAGGAATCGGTTTTAAAAAAATTGGTTGATGAAAAGTTTCCTCTCATTGAGACCTTTAAAACAAAAAAAAATATGTGTTATATCTTAAACCGTGCGTGAGTTATCTCAATTTTTCTGACTGAAAACCATGTTCTGAGAAAAACGGGAAAGAAGTTTTAGAAATGGATTTTTTCATTCAAATCCAGAACAAATCATGTTACAATGGTATATTCCACTGGATCGTTTTTAAGGACGTAAGAGATGAAGGTAACTAACGCCATCTGACATGCTGATTAATATAAAAATATTTTATTTAATGATAATGCAAGTGGGAGCGCAATTTTTCTGAAACTGAAAACCAGGAAATTTTCTCCGAAAATATGGTAGTAGATTTAAAGTTTCACGTGATAAATCTTTGAAAACTGGATCATTTTCCAAAAGACTATATATATTCTGAAAGAGGAAGCTTCGCTGCATCTGTCTGTGATAAAAACTCAACTTCGATATATTCCTGAAAAACTCGATTTTCTAAAGGGGGGGGGGGCCTTAATCAATATACGAAATGAAGGTTTCGGTTCAAAACTATCCTAACGAACCATCATCGTTAGTGAGCCACTTTTATCAGTTTAGTTAGTAGTAGTTGACTTGCGGCCAAATTGTCTCTATCGAATGCGTCTCTGGTGACCTGTAATAATATTGTGTAGTTGCCATGATCCATCACAAAATGTTGTTGAATTTTTGCTAAAGGTTCTCAGTAATTTTTATTTGATATTTATCGTTGAGTTGACGCATCATCTAAGATAATGTGACTTTTCGCATATTTAAACAATCGTGAATAATTTGTTCTATTATACTTTAAGAGAGACATGTCTCAACTATAATATCATTTTAAGTTCAATGTGGACCATCGTTAATAACTTGTCATATGAGCTCAATATTTGCATTTCTAAGCTCGTAAATCAGGCGATTAAATCGAGGATTATCATTGTCATTCTCTCTTCCATAATGAAAACACTTTGTTCATCTTAACATTGATGGATATGACGCAGCGTTAGACTCCTATACTGTTGTAAGTTCTTCCTCAAATATATTTGCAAAGTAGCCTGAATGATACTATTGTATCTGTTGACTTTATTATTCATTTTTTAAAACTTTTTTGAATAGATATTGCATGATATCTGAGACAGTATCAGAACTATGATAAATTGTTTTCGAATTCAGACTTTAAGAATAAAAATCTAGTCAGATATGAAAATTTCCAAAAAGATGAATACCTTTCGACTTTCCTTCCAAAGTTATACTCATTTTAGGCTGTAGTACGTTTTGTATCAATAAGCCTAAAGAACCGTATTTCAACTTAATCTTTAGCCCACAAATAGTTTTACTTATGACTAAAATGCCCTGAAAATTTCATATCGAAATATCGTCATTCAAATTATTGGTACATGCTGTACTATAGCCTACAATGCTTATGACTCTGACTGCAAGGTCTAAGGGTATTTATCCTTTTGGAAATTTTCACATGTACTTTATGCGTCAAATCAACATTCGAAAATAATCTACCATTTGAAACAATCCCCTCGTCAGAATTATCATTTATTTCATAGCTATATGACTATTGAAATTTGAATTTTTAAAGATATTCTAGTTTATAAAAATGTAAATAAACAATTAAGGACATGAAGAGATTTTAATCATACAGAATAAAGAATAAATTCAAAACTTATTACAAAATTATTTTTTCTTTTCTTTAGATTACTTTGGCAACACATTTTATGAATGATCTTGGTCTTGATAGTCTTGATCATATTGAAATCATAGTTGCGTTAGAAAATGAATTTGGTAAATTTATTTCTAATTTATTTTTCTAAAAGTTTATGTTTTTTTTTTTCTTTTGTTTAGGTTTTGAAATTCCCGATGTTGATTATGATAAATTATACACGGTTAAAGCAGTTGTTGATTATTTAATCAAAAAGATGCATGTTGTCGAACATTCGAAACCTGTTGTTTCATCAGCATCTGATCCACGCTATGACGAACATCACCATTGACCTTTAGTTTATAAAAAAAACATGTGTCTTGTTTGTTTGACTTTTATAACCTTACATTTTTTTTTTCTAACAATCATCTAGTATACTTTAGATCAGCAGACACACCTTGTGAAAGATTTCACTTTTCTTTTCTTTTTTCGTCATTCTTTTTTTCATGGCAAAACTATAAATAGCATAAAGATTGAGTATGGTATGTCGATGATTATGACTACGTTCTTTCTTGTTCTGTAAGAAAATGAAACAAGAAAAATATGATTAAGTAAAAGAAACGGTTGATTCATCTGTCAGATGATAGAATATGACGAAGGAAAAAAAAGGGAGGAGGCAGCAGCAACAACGCGAATGGAATATTATCTATGCTGCGAAGAAAAATGACTGTGAAATAACTATTTTTATATGCGAATAAAAACGAGAATAGTATTATGATCGATTGAATGGACGGATAGAAAGAACAAAGTGCTCGATAAAGAAAGAGAATCCGAAGTACATTGAAAAAAGAAGATAAAGGTATATGAATAAGAATCAGTTATATAAGACATATTATTTTACTCATTTTTTTTCTATTGTCAGCAAGAAATATAAGTATAGAAATAAAAAATATATATATTTATGTTCTTCATTTCATCTATATAAAACTTCGACAGCCGAAAACCTATAAAAAGATAATTTATTTTGTAATAGACATAGAACAATGATGTACTATGAAAAGTTTATCATGCATTGAAAAATTTACTTGAGAATCAAGTGAAGTTCTACTCATTGATAGATTAATATTTATTCTGGATAGTAAAAAGATCATTCGAAATCTGTTATCCAATTACGAATTCAGAAGATTACTTTACATATAAGAGAAACAAATACGCATCACATTAGTTTTTTTCACGATTTAGTGATCAACTACAATAATATACTAAACAATTGTCATATTCAATTATTTACACGTAAGAATAATGAGATGAGGGTGTCTTTTGATTAAATAAACAAGTTAAAGTAAATAATAAATTAAGTTGTACTTCTTCAAAGGATGATATGTCTCATCACATGTTAGATCTCAATGCATTGATCTATATCCTAAATAGATAATTCAATTATGGATCTCAGAATTGATTTTCTTTTTTGTTTTTGCTTTGTTATAAAGTAATGAGAGAGAAGGATTTTTCACTCATATATTCTCTTTGTTTTTCTTCGTTATTACAGGTAAACAAAAACGCAAGTGAGCATCTTTCTTCTTTTTTTCTTCTTCTTTTATTCACATCTATTTGAATAATTGCATCGTACCAAACCCCTTTTTATTTTTATGATCTATTGAAATATCTTAAAATAGAACTTTTATATCTATTTTTTTTGTTTTATTTTTTTAGGTTCAATATATAAATCTAATCAAAAGTGATCAATATAAATTTTGAATGATATTTTATTAATAATCAAAGTATTATTATGGGTACAAATAATTCAAAAGGAAATTCTCATGTAACAATATCAACTATTGATAATAATAATCAAACATGGCAAACATCTATAAAAAGAAAATCTTCAATAATAAATAAAACAAATAATTATTATGGATGGCAAGAAATTATTCGATGTTCACATACAGATTGGTTAAATGATATTGCTGGTAAAAAAGAATATCTTTTTATTTTCAATTAAAATTTTAAAAAATTCTGTTTTTTTTTTTTCTTTAGAATTATTTGGTTTTCCTCAACATAAATTTATTTGTAATTCAGGACTTCATAGTGTATGTGCACCTGGTTTTTGTTCAGAATCTTTATCACGTAAACTTTATCATGGTTCTTATCGATCATCATCAAAAAATTTTCAATCAACAAAAATAAAAAAATTACGTGAACATTTTGAATATAATCATATACCAGCAATGATTAGTTCATTACAAAATTATTCTGTTCAAGGACTTATTAATGGTTGTTCAATGTCAGGTTTAGATCATGGTGATACAATTATGTTATTAATTTATTCGGTTGTTTTGGACAAAACAAAATTTATTATTATTGATTTAAAATTAAATCGTTATGTTTGTGCATTAGGTGATGATTATAATGGTTTAATTGATGCTAAAAAAGTTCATGCAGCTTGGTCAATGGATAGAACACAAGTTATTATACGTATACCGATGGTTGGTGGCACAGCTGCATTGGATTTTTATAAAAGTATGAATAAGAAATTATTTTTATCAATCGAATTCTATCTATTCGAACATCATTGCTTCATGACTTGTCTATTGTTATATAATTTCTAATGCTCGATCTCACATTTCAAGAAGAAAAGAAAAAAACTTTAGTGCTGAATAGTCTATTCATATTCCAAGTACAGGTCATTCAGTTTATTTTGAAACGTTTTCAATCCATTTTCTCTCTGTCAGTGACTCATTGAAATCGGATGATTTTGATATCAGTCTACTTGATACACATTGGGGATGTTGTTATAATATTATTAGTTTGAATAAACAAATGTCTGTTAATAAAACATCTAATAACATCGAATAGTATGAGAAATATCTTTTGACAGAATAATATTCATATTTAGTGAAACATGTACAGTTATCTGGAATACATTTCTGTCTATAAAAATGTACCATTATTAATGTGTGTAAAAAGATTGAAAAACAGCTACAGTTACGTTTAGAGATATGCCTGATTGATTCTGACATCATTTTGTAGATTATAAGGCGTAATCGATATCATACATCTTGAGCACTAAGATCGCTTCTTTTGCAATATTAGATGAATATTAACGATCTACCTAGCTTTTCTTCATGTTTCTTTGCAGGATTTGTGTCCAGAATAATGCAAACAGTTGTATCAACAGTACTACAATATCTTATAACAACTAAATAAACAGCAGGGAAATGCGTGTAGTCTGTATTATATGTTACTTCCAGCTGATTATGCACTTTGTTGTATAATGTGAAGAATAAAAATTTGGATTTTCATAGTTTAATAAAGTTGGCAAAGGCTATTTCTCAAACTTATTAGGCGCATGCTTAATGGTGCTTTTTGATAGACAGAAGCGTATTTCAGATGACTGTTCACGTTTCGCTAAATATGAACATTATTCTGTCAAAGAATATTTCTCATACCGTTCAATATTATTAGATGTTTTATTAACAAACATTTGTTTATCCAAACAAATAATATAATAATAACATCTTCAATGTATGCGAAGTAGACTGGTATGAAAACCATTCCATTTCAATGAGTCACTGACAAAAAGAAAATGCATTGAAATCGTTTCAAAATAAATTGAATGATCTGTAAATAACAAATTCAAAGACGTGCAGTGTTCATATAAATATTGAACAGTGAGTCACTGACATCTGCATGTGGTGCATTATTGAGATTCTAACTTTATCTCAAACTATGCCCTTTTTGTAGTGGAGAATAATGTAGAAAACATGCAGTTTTTGAAAGAAGTATATCTTAAAAGGACTTTGTTGAAAACTTTTGAATTTTTTCCATGGAAGCTAATCTAGTCGAGTTCTCTATATACACAAAGTTTCAGATCAAAATTCGACAATACTAACTTTCCGCATATCTGAAATCTTTACAAAATAGATATCTTAAGAACTCGATATCTTTTGTTAAATCTCAATGACAATCGAAACTTTTTTGGTATTTTTATTAGAACACTATGTAGTATCTAAGGCAAAAATAATTATTGAGACTCGAACGAGGCAGCTGGAGAAGTCCTCTTGTAAATCGATGGTTCGTAAACTGCAACTGTTCATCCTTAATCGAATTAAAACGTTTGAATTTAGTGAACTCTTGATAAGAAGTCTATATTTAATTAATTTGTACGTTTTTTTTTAACTTTCTTTTAGCCTTATTTAACATAACGCTAATATTGAACATTTTCTTCTTTTTTCTAGTTGTAAAAAAAGAAGCTAAATTATATCGTCGAATTGTTCCAATCGATACTAATGCACTATTTCAATTTTGTCCAAATTATTGGTCATCTCGTTTAATTTTATATACTTATTCAACTGAGACACAAACAAATTTAATTAGTTATAATCTAACAACATTAACACCAGGTGGTTCAAATAAAGTTCAAACTCAAACAATTCCATTACGTCAACAATTAATTGGATCATATTTATATTCAATGAATATACATACATGGTCAATATATAAAAATCAAAATATTCAAGTTGATAATGGTTTTCGTCTTTTATCAATTTTATACACACCTGATAGTGTATATATAATATTAACATTTGCTGATAATAATTGTCATTGTGGACAAACATTACCAATAAGTTATTTTGATATATATCATTCAAATAGTCTTCAACGTCTTCATCGTATATATACACAACTTATATCACATATATGTCCATGGCATATGTGTCGAAATTTGTTAACACCTATTTTTTCTGTTTCATCATCACGTATGGCATTTTGTACAACAAAAAATAATGGTGGACGAGAATTACAAGTTTCAATTATTGTATTACCTAATGAACTTAATTTAAAATCCATATGTCGTCGTTTAATAATTCATTATTTAAATGAATTAAATGGAAAAATTGAAGATATTACAAATGAACTTCCATATCGTCTCAGTCAATACATTCAATATCGGCCAGAGTATCAATAAAATAAACTATTCATGTACCAGTCATATCAGTTTTTCTTTTTTCTGTATATAGATATATATATTATATATATACAATATATGTAAATATCTGTTTGTATTGTATAATTTTTTTTCGAAAAAAAAAATTAATCAATAAACTATGAAATGTGTGTTTTGAAATAATTGAGATTTAAAATTTTTAACAAATTAGTAAGAATTCGAGTTAGATTTGACTATGGATGGACAACGTGCCAAGAGAGAAACAGCACAACTGTAGTTTTTCGAAGCACTGAAGTCTAAAGCTCGTCCACTTCAAAGTTTTCGAATCCGATTAAACCATACTTTTATATTCTCAATGTACTTTTCTAATCGGAATAGCATAATCGTCCTAAAGATACAAGATGCAGTTATTTGTGTTCAGTGAATAGCGCACCCTACATATTGCTTAGACTATCAGAGCCTATTGGATCCAAAATTTTTCGAATCTAGTTAACAGAAAAGTTTATAGACTTGAAGCTACCGGGTACTGTTAAAATTACGGTTTTTTCCGTTTGACCATCATTCACATTAACATAATCGCACTCTTCTGAATGTTACTTTCAAGTTTTTTTTTGAGCAAAAAAAAATTAAAATTACAAAAACGTTCGCCATTCGTCTAACAACGTCATTGATTTCCATTGTAGAATCTCATGTTGAATAGCACATAATTGATCAATTATTTTCAATGAATAATATGTGACAAAAATTTCCTTTCATTACTGACATATGCACTTTTGAGCATGACTTTAATGTATGACGAAAGAAGAAAAGCCTATTTTTAGCTCTTAATTCTTTAATATTTCACTGAAAAATATAAAATAATAGTGTCAAGGTTGATTCTATGAAAGAAACAACGGAAACCGTATCTCTCATTACAGTATCTCCGTTTGGGCGTAATCTACAAGCATCTGTTTTAGTTTCTCTTGTTGTTTTTCTGGTACCCAAAAGCATAAAAAGTACATCAAAAACAAAAGGGCCAAAGTGCTATCACAATCAAAAATCTTGGAAAGAAAAACTATTATCGTATAAAATAAAAAAATCTGTTCTTTTTCATTCTTTCACCGCTACTTTTTACCCTACTATTTGAAATTGATACTAGAAATAATAACAAAAATTTTCATTGACTAAAATCGTATGGGCAAATTAAAAAAGAAATGATAGTCAATACTCTTGCTTGTAATGAGAAAAACAAGAAACAATTGTTGCATTAGATTGAAAGTTGTAATTGTTACTTGAGCATCAAAAAATTTGAATACAAGTTCTAATTGACCCACTGATGCTTATTTAATACAAATTGTTATTCTGATCTTGTTGAAAAAAAAATGCCAGAATAACTATCGGTATATGATTACACTATTATGACATGTTGTTCATAATGCCAAAATAGTCAAATTATCCTTATTTGCATGCTTTATTCAGCAATGTCTGAAATATTTACTCTAACATAAGCAAATACCTTCAAGTATTTTCGTTTTATAGAAGAAAAAGATCTTCTTCCAAATCATCTCTATTTAGCTATGTACTATTCCAAAATAGATTTGATTGTATGACACGATTTCTGACATGTTACTATTATTGGAAAGTACTCTCTGCTATTGAGCCATCCATTACTTGAATGGTGTAAAAATGGCCTTCACTTAATCCAAAAATAACAGAATCGTTAACAATATTTTGAGTGGGTGTGAAAAAATACACATGTTGACATAGAAACGTTTTTATGACCTCTATTGCTAATAATGTACATCCGACACAAAGAAATTATTTTGATGAAAATACAAATGATTAAGATCTTTTAGACGGTAATTAGTACCTGTACATGACTGTGTTACACTAAAGATTCTCAAAAGATTTTTCATGCTTTGCAAAGCGAAATTGCACTATGTCAAATTACAAGCAAGATTGATTTATCGCCGAACTTCTCTTAATATGTCTTCTGAGACTAATATTATATATAATATAAATCTGTAGCTAAAACAAAAGTGACAATCAATAATAATCATGATTATTTTTTATTTTTTGAAAATGATAATAATAAAAATAAAAATAAAATGTAACAGATGGCTCATAAATAATGACGCAAATTATATTTTGTATTTTTCTGGATCGGATTTCATTGTAGAAATTTCTGTGTAGTCTCAAAAGATTCTTCTTTTCAATTCTCTACAAAAATTACATTAGAATGTTCAAGCTTAACTTCGTGTTTAACAAAGTAGCCGAATCATATTAAACTTTTCCAACGTGTGTAGCTTTGTAGAATTTCTTTTTTTTGTGAAAGTTTAGATTTTTATACGATCAAGAGACATACATAAAACATATCTCCGAATGGTTTTATAATTCTTTTAAAACAGTCAAAATCAGATTTTATTTTGCTCATGTCATTTCAATACAAAGTTGTATTTTGACAATGAGTATTCGATGTAACGTACTATTCATTTCTATTCAACGTATAAAAATATAAACTCAAAGAACTAAGTTTAAGTGAACTTCTGCCAAAGCTTCTGAATGTTCTAAAATTTCTTATTTCAAATCATGATTCTTGTAAATTGTCAAAAATAATATTATTTTTCTGAATAATGGTTGTTGATGTGAATATTATTCAAACATAGCTGAAAGATAGAGCTTTTTGTCGACACTCTAAATGACTAAGAAATTTATTTGAAGAGCCACAGTTCCAACGAATAAAACTAAAATAAATATTTTTTTATGTTAGAAAGTGGCACATATTGTAGGCGGGTAGTATTACTATTCAATTATTTTTTTTAAGCCCTAAGCTTAGATGAAACATTCTGACGTCATTTTTGTAGAAAATTGAAAGAAGAATCTTTTAATACAAGGCACAATTTTCTGCAATGAAACTTGATCGAGAACAACACATTATACTATTATTTGTATGCCACCCGATAATTCATTAATAGAAAATAAATGAATAACATTTATTTTATTCCTATATAAGATCATCAAAAGAAAAATACAGAAGACTGCAGGTATAACAATTAGAGAAAAAAAAAACAAGATCTTTGTTGAAATAAGAGTCAAAAATCGATTAACAGAATAAGAAGAATGTTTTCATTGATTAAATTGCTTGTGCCATACATAGAGTATATGGTAAATAATGATCATTTGTTGTATAAGATTCAATAATTTTAAAAGAATTTTTCTTCATTAATAATTGAATATCTTCTTGAGTATATTTTACAGAAACTTCTGTTTGTATAGCATCATAAGGTTCTAATTGCATAGTAAAACCATTTTCATCCGTAATTACTTGTTGTTTTGTACTAATTAACCAACTTTCCATTTGTCGAAGTAATGGATTAAATGTTGCATAATGTTGAAAATTTGTTATTTTAAAATTAAAATTTAATTCTCGATTAAGACGAGCTAAGAGATTATAATTGAATGCTGCTGTAATACCTTTTGGATCACTATATGCTTGAATCATTGTTTTTGTATCCTTACATATATCAAATGCACATAGAAACCAATCTCCTATTTTTAAATTAGATCGAACTGATTGAAATAATTTCATAACAGGTGAATTTTCACCAAATTTAACGTGATTGGAATCAAAAGAAGAAAAATTACCAATAGTACTGCCTAATAACATCACTACTTGTACTGCTAATGAATCAATATTAAGTTGTGTATACATGTGATCAAATGTTGAACATATTGGTTTAACATATTCTTTAACAATACTTTCACCCATTGTTTGATTTAATCGTTGAATAAGTGAATCAATTGCATGTTTTGATATATCAACAGGATGATAAGAAACTGAAATATTTTCTTTTGATTTAACCCATGGTAATAAAAATTTTTCAACTTTACTACCATCACCACAACCAAGTTCGATAATATGAAATTTAGATAATGAATGAGTTTGAATATTAGAATGTTGAAGAATAGTAGTTTTCATATCAATAGCTCGTTGTTGTAATAATTTTAATTCTTGATTATATAAATAATATTCATCAAGTTGAGTTATTTGTTCATAAATTGCTGAACCATGTGCATCATAAAAATATTCCGATGAAATAGTTCGATGATTTGGATTACTTAATGTATTAATAATTCTTTCACGATCAGTCATAGTTAAAGGAAAATCTGTATGTCCATTTCGTTTAACACATCTAAATGTAGCAAATACATATACGTATTTATCTTGAAACCAATTACGAAATGTTCTTCGAATTAATTTTGAATCAGTAGCAAACGAACCACCCAATAATACAAAATGACGATCATCAAAAAAATCTGATGAATAACCTGGATAAGTAGGTAGACTTCCATGATAACCTGAAAATGGTCGAAATATACTTGATGTCCATTCAAATGCTGATCCTTGCCATTGTAAATTTTTATCCGTACATGAATTAATTGGCATTGTATGTAAATGAGAAAAATTAACATTATGTTTTCCATCAGCTAAAGTCATAGGTATACATTTTGACCAATCCCACATTGCATAAACCCATTCAGCTTCAGTTGGTAAATCGATTTCATAACCAGTTTTTTGTGATAACCATCGACAATAAGCTTTAGCTTCAACTTGAGTAACAGTAACAGGATGATCAAGTACTGATTCAATAGGTATATCACGTTGTAATATAAAATTTACACGATATGAATTATCATAACTCCATGATGTTGGATGACAAATTTTTGATTCAATAATCCATTCAAATGCATCATGATCCCACCATTTTTTTGTTGTATAACCATTATCTAAGACAAATTGAAGAAAATCACCAATACGAACTGGATGTGATTGCAGTTCAAAACTTGATACATATGTTGGTTCACAAGGGAATTCATTATCCCAGCCAAATGAAAATGTTGTCGATTTTTCATTATACGGTTTACCTAATGATATTTGTCCTCCTGGTAATTGTATCCACTTATTGTCAGGTAAGGGTAAAGTTACATGACAAAGACGAAAATCTTCTTCATTCACTATATCCAATCGTAGTGCTTCTAAAGGTAATTGAGCATATAAATACATTAATGTTTCTTGATGCATTATCTCATGTTCCAGAGCGACATTTAATATATTTAATGTTTGTACATCATCAAAATTAAGATTACCATTCATTAATACATTTTCAATTTCTGAACGCACTTTGAGTTTATATTCATTAATACTTTGTACACTAAATGATTGCCAATAATCTTTTTCTTGATCATCATTAATTGAGAATCTACTTGAATGTTTATGATTAACAATACCTGTTGATACATCTGGATCAACTCCACGTTGAAAAATTTCATCAAATAAAACATCAATAGTTTTATTTACGCCATCGAAATTTTGAAATTGTACCCAAGAAAAACATGGTAAATGACCAAGATAAAATAGAAGTGGTAATCTTAATTTGATTGGTTGTCGATAAAAATCATCAGATGAACGAATTAATCCAAATAAATAATCACTACGTTCCCATATTTGATGAAACTTCTTGCACCAATTAATACAATTAGAATCAGTGTCACCATTGACATGATAATAATTATCAAAAGTTTGCTTATACTTCAGACTGCCCATTGTAAAAAAAAATGACTGTTATATGTACAAGATTTTAATCTTTATATATATTTTAACTTTTGATCTTATCAGTTGAGTCAATAAGTAGACAGTTTCTCTTAAATTAAATTTGATATTGTGTAATCAAGAGTCAGCAAAATTATATGCCCTTTGCGTATATTTAGATTATTTGATAACAGATCATTGACGTAGATTTATTCTCTTTCTTTGCTCTCACACACCCTCTTTTATTCCCAATGTTTCGTTCTTATTCATAGATGCGTGGGTGACAAACGCTTTGTTAATATTCGCATTTTCATTAATTAATTTATCAAATAACTAAACAAATCTATTAATATCATCGATTCTGTTGTTGTATCAGCATTGAAACGTAAATAAATAATACAAAAGGCTATAGGACATTTGTTATTGTGTATTGTATTTTTGACCTATTAAGTGAAAAAAAAGAACATGGTCCTCTCTTTTCAATGTTCTTGAAATAAACGCACGCATTATCAGTATGATTGACAATATATAAATTTCATGTTTTTATTCAAAAAATAAGAAAGTTATAAATGAACCTCTGTTGTTTGTTCACCAAAAAAAAGGAAGATGAAACATTTGCTAAATTAATAAGAAAGTATTGTTCATCTTAAATTATTGTAAACCAGCTTCTTTTAAACTATTAGTTGTTGGATCCCAGGTACATGACCATGGTTTATCACCAAGTGCATTCTATATATATATATAATAAATAAAAAATAATATTAATTTTAATCAATGTTTGTTACTTACCAATACTTTCATATCTTCATCAGGAATTGACCAATTGAATACATCTGCATTTGATTGAAGTCTTGATTTTTTAGACGTCTTAGGAATTGTTATATATCCATGTTGAACAGACCAACGAATCAATATTTGTGCTGGAGTTTTCGATAATCTAAATATAATTTCATAGATTATTTCTATAATTATTGTAGAGCTGAGCAAAATATTCCAATTATTCGTAGTCGAGCATCAATCACTCTAAAAATCGAAGGCACCTAAAACCATTTGTTCCCTCTCGAAATATTTTTGATTTTTATGTTTAAATCAATACAATAGCGCTTCCGAATATTATAGCAACGGTTTCTTTCACAATTTGAAATAAAAAAAAATGGCCTTATCCGCTTTCGTTCTTGTCAATAAAAGCGTGTTATGTTAAAGTGATACCAGGTGCTTATTTCTGTCCTTCGAAGATGAAGCAAATAGTTAATTTCTTTCGTCCTCAATCCGATCTATAAGTGCATTTATATATATTAGACAATTATACTGTAACACCCTTGAAAATATGTTCCGAAGTAATCTTATTTGACATTCTTATACTCGAGAAAGTTAGTATTTGTTCAACTCTGGCTTCTTGAAATGAGAAAAAGACAACATGATTATACTTGTTTGCAATGTCACCAACAGTTTTATCTCGAATTTTTTGACCTTTGGCCAATGGTGAATAACCCATAACAGTAATGTCATGTTCACGACAATACTTGACAATATCTTTTTTTTGTTGCCATGGATGAAGCTCAATTTGATTAACTGATGGCTTTTCAAGACCTAATTTAGCAAGAGCTTCTAAATGAATTACACCAAAATTTGAAACACCTAAAGATCTATAATATTTTCAATAGTTAAAAAAGAAAATTTTTTCTTAACAAAATTGTTCTTACCTAATCTTTCCTTGTTTTTTTGCTTCGAGTAATGCTCGATATGCTTCAGCACAATGACCACCTTGTGGTGCATGAAGAAGATATAAATCAACATAATTCGATTGAATACTTATTACGAAGAAAATGTTAGATGAAAAAAAAACAAAGCAATCCAATTTTATAAAACCTTTTCAAACAATGATCAAGTGTTTTAAGAGCACCTTTTGCTCCTGCAGACGATGGCCACCATTTTGAAACAATAAAAATATCTTCACGTTTTTTTCCACTTTGTTTTATTCCATTACCAACACCATCTTCATTAGCATAAAATTCCGCTGTATCAATTAAACGATAACCTTGATGAATTGCTTCGGCAACTAGATCTGTACCTAAAAGATATAAAAATCAAATTTTCTAATATGATTATTAGTTGTAATATACAATTTTCATCAACTAGATACACTCCAAGTCCAAATAATGGCATTATCACACCATCATTGAGTTTAACAGTTGATTCAAGACTGGTAGGTATCAATGATGAAGCCATCTAAAACAAAAAAAAAAAGAATTTTAATCAGTATTAAAAGAACAAAGCGTGCGGCAGCTTGCAAGTGATCATATTCAAGCTGATCATTGATCAGCATGTCGATGACACCTTACCTCCTATCGACAATTCATATTGTTATAAGCGAGAACAACATAAATTGTTACACGAACTGTTACCTATCTATCGATATCATTAATCAATTTTGTACAATTCATCAACATTCATACAAGAAGAAAAAGAAAGAAAGAGAGAGAGAGAGAGAGAACGGTTAAGATATGTATATATATATATGAACGATTCAAAGGAGCGAACCACAATTTATTTTCAAAATCAAAGTAAGTGAAGCAATTGATTCACGCGTCATTTTAACAGTTTTCTTTTGTGAAACACGATCGAAAAGAAGTATTGAAGTATAGAAAGTTAAAATTTGCAAAACCCACAGTACGTATGTAGGCGGACATTTAGCTAAAAATGGAAAGCACCTGTTTTTCCAAGATTTAAATACAAAGGAATATAGTCTATCTAGTGATATAGATAACTTTGTTAGATCCTTAAAAAAATGAAAAAGAAAACAGTTACCCAAAAATCAGTCGGAAAGTGGTGATGTCATCTGTAAAATTAATATCTGACAATATTAAACTGTTAGACAAATAGATCTTTGTGTCCAATAATTACTTAGCAAAGAAATTCATTTCCGACCAAGAAAGTCACATCTGTACCGGCCATGCAAAAACGGCGTATTGTGTCCCTACTCTCTCGCACAGACCCTAGTTAGAGACCATCACAGACACTATTGTGAGACTGTCAAAGTCTGTGACAGAAGTTATTGATATGCGACCTTTGATCGTATATCAATAGCATCTCGTTATAATATAACAACTATCTCGTTATTGCACTTTTGAAGGATTAAATACAAGGATGATGAAGACGTGTACCTCGAAATAGATAGAATACAACGATCTTTCTACGATTAGTAAGAGCATTTACATCGTGTTTCACATTTCAATACTCTAGGGATTACATTAATAACATTTGTTTTTTTTTTAATAGAATAATGAATCCACAAGATAGCGGGTATTTCAGTCCAAGTCCAGCAAGTCAAGATTTTTGCTCTCATAAAACTCTTAAAACGTTAACTAAACCTCAAGAGTCTTATGTTGCTTTAATTGCTCGTGCTATATTATCTGCACCTAATTATCAAATGTTACTAGTAGAAATCTATGAATGGATTATAAATGAATATCCTTATTTTGGTACATTACAAAGTAAAGCATGGAGAAATTCAATAAGACATAATTTATCATTAAATGAATGTTTTATTCGACAACAAAAATCTGAAAATGGTCGAGGTTATTATTGGGGTATACATCCAGCGGCATTTGATGCTTTTATTCATGGTGATTTTCGACGACGACAAGCTCGTCTTCGAGCTAAACGTGCTGATAATTTATCTATTCAAACTATACCATGGATGATGAATAGAAATATCTCATTGGATTATTCAGTACATCAAACACACACATATAATTGTTCATATTAATAATTTGTCTTTTCTTTTCAATAATTAATAAAAATAAAACAAATACAAGGATTTGTGAACTAGTTTATTCTCATTAATGAAGTGTGTATAATATACATAAAAGTAAATCATAAAAGAGAAAAAAAAAAGAAGAGTCGATGACTATATCTGTTTATATTCATTGCAACTCATTCGCTTTAGTTTATTTTCGTTTTTTTTTACTTATAAGGATTTGGTTGTTGATTAATATAAGGTGGTGGTGGACCGCCATAGCCTTGTTGTGGTGGATAATAATTTCCTTGATTATATGGTGGATAGCCTGGTTGTTGATTTGGAGGCGGATAGTAAGGTTGAGCACCCCCAGGATAATATTGTGGTTGATGTTGAGGAGGTGGACCATAACCTTGTGGACCATAAACGCCCGCTGTTGGAACATGACCACCTGGTTGCTGATAATAGCTGAATGAAAAAGAAATGAATAGAATTTTGTTATCAGTTATGTAAAGACAGAAAGGACATACACAGTTGTTGGTACTTGATTATTACGAGAACCTGAATCCATCATATCTTTCTATATGTAAAAAAGAAAAAATTTCATCAAACAAAAATATTAATTAGAAAACAATATGAAAAATAATTACACAGCATTTACCTAAAGAAAAAACAAAGAAATTTTTTTCATATTCTATTTTTAGATTCTAGAAATACATACAGCAGCAAAGAGCAGCTAATGGAACACAAAGACAGCAAAGAATATCATCACAACCATCATCTAGACACATGATTACAATCTTTAATAGAAACAAAAGCATAAATAAGAATAATAATTAAATAAAATTAATTATTCAAAATAAAATTAATCATAACATAATAAATCAAAATTGTAAATACATGGATCAATGGTTGCACTTTTATATGAATGGTTTATTCTATTATCTATCTAATAGAAATAACGATAGATAACGTTACACGTCGATAGATCATCATCTATGATTTGATTTACTCGTTTGAAAAAAGCGAAGAAGTACTTGAAATATAATTAAAAATTTTTTACATACTATTCATTATTAATACTCAATAAATATGATATGAACTTAATTTATGTTAAATAAGAGCCATTAAAGCATGTAGGTATGATAATACTTTTAGAAACATCTGGTTGAATTCTCAAGGATATGTGTTCGAAAAATTTTCTAATACATTCTTATTCTCCTACCGATGCATGTCTTTCATTGATTTGAAATAGTGATAATGAAATTTCAAATTCGTTGGTATAGACTCTTTCTTTCAAATTAATTAAACACCTTTTCATATTTTGTTTTTGTGTAAATTACAGTTTTTACACTATTCTATGGTTTTTATTATTAATTATAATTTTTTTGTTCTTTTATCGTTGGGTAAGCATGCAAACGATGAAAATATTTAATAATGTCTTGATTATCTTTAAGCGATATATTGATGACGATGATCCTATTGGTACTGTTCATATCACAGAAATTCGTGGACGACTTGACAGTTCGGTTTTGAACAATTGTAAATTTTTTTCAATACTATTTTTTTTTATACAAAATTCATTCTTTTCAATAGATATTCAAAGTAAAGAGAATAATTATTTTGCAACTGAAAATTTAACTGTACCTGTTCTTGTTTGGTGGACACCATTTACATATGACACAGGTTCTTATATACGATGTCGTAATCAAACACGGTGTTTTATATCAAATATAAGAAAATATCGTGATAATAAACAATTTTCTGCATTTCTTTTTTATGGTACTGATTTTCATTTGTATGATTTACCATTACCACGTTATGAACATGAACAATGGTCATTACTTCATGAAGAATCACCAAAAAATAATTATGTATTTTCATTTGAATCTATCATGAATATGTTTAATCATACAGCAACATTTAAACGTCATTCTGATGTACCATTAACAACTCAATGGTTAGCCTCAATCGATGATTTACTAGATCAAACGTATGTTATTGATGTTAAAGAAAAAACACAATTACAAAAAACAGAAAATTTAGCACCAATTATATATATACAATCGGATTGTAATACACCATCAGATCGAGATTTATATATTAAAGAATTAATGAATTATATTCAAGTTGACTCCTATGGAGCTTGTTTACATAATAAAGATTTACCAGAAAAGTATATTCTATTTCGAAAAGAAGAGAAAAATACTTTTTTTTTCTGTTCGTTTTCTAGTTTAAGAAATCCAGTTGTATCAATGGAACATGATGAAGTATTAAAACTTGTTGGTAAATATAAATTTGCATTAGCTTTTGAAAATGCTATTTGTACTGATTATATAACTGAAAAATTTTGGCGTCCATTGAAAGTTGGTACTATACCTATTGTCTATGGATCAGATCGATTTCAAGTAGAATATCTATTTAAAAAAATTATTTTCATTCTGTATCTTATTTTTTGTTTGTTTTTGAATAGGATTTTCTTCCTGATAATCATTCAGCAATATCCATGCTCGATTTTGCTACACCTGCAGATTTAGCTCATTATATTCATGAATTAAATAACAATGATACTTTATATGATTTCTATCGTTATTTTAAATTAAATCGTATAATTTCAAATGATACACTTCTTGTTCAAACAATGTCTGCACGTACATGGGGTATAAATAATGATCGTATTCGAGGTAATTTTATTAATAAACTTGAATGTGTTGTATGTGAACGTGTACATGAAACACGACAAGATTCAACAATAAAATATCAAGCTAAATTTGATGATTATGGATGTCCACCACCAACAACATTTGATAAATATGGTCGAAAATTAGAACGTACAGGAAATTGGTATCGTACATATGAATATACTCGTTGTCAATTGGAAGTATTTCAAGAATTGATTGATCAAAAAAATTATAATTTTACAGAGAAAGATATATATAATGCAGCATCAAAACGATTTTCACCATCGTTTCAAAAAAATGAATTTTTAAGATAATAAATATTTGGTTTTGTGTTTTTTTCTATTTGAATTTAAGAAATAAAAAGTTTCTAGATATTTGATGTGAAGATTTATTAATTAAAATCTACAAAATGTAGAACTTTGATAAAAATTTGTTATTTTCTTCTCTATCAAGTATGTCTTCAAACAAAGTACAATCATTTACTAGATCACTACGGTATCATGTCAGATAATTTAAACAATATTTATTTCTGTGAATCATTAGCATATTTACTTCCTATCGGTGAAAATGTGGCTGTGTGTAGATATTTTCTCTTCACTATCACCTACACTCTATATGAAACATATCAAGACAGTTGATAGGTTTGAAATCAATAAAGAGTTACATTGATATTTTCATTTATTTATTTTACAGTAGGTTTTAATAGGAAATGAACTAGCTTGAGAAATGATCGGTTATATTAACGACTTTGATTTATCTAGTCAAATGTTTCTATTGGCATTTACTGCCATCTGATTAATATTTCCATTGCATAGACTTATTTAACCAATGATAAAAAGCAGAATACTAAAGGAAGGAGGAAAATGTCATCATATTTTCGTTGGACGATTGCCTCATAATGATGGTGATGTGGGTGTGTGCATGTGAAGATTAGTTGACGTCAACACATGATGAAATGAACCCATAGATACATAGAAGTATTGCACAAGCTTTTTTTTTTCTCTTATATTTCTCTAGATTCCAATTCAAAAAGTCTTCATTTCAATTCACAATCAATTAAAAATGAGCTCAACATCTCAACAAAAATCATCATCTTCAATCTGGAAATGTCCTGAAGTAGTATCTGAAGCACGGCTTCGTCTTTATAACAGCTTTACCAAAAAGAAGGTAATCAGACTAAAAACTTCGTTCTATGAAATCAATTCAATTGATGTTTCGTTTTAGGAACTATTTGTACCAATAAATGGTAATGAAGTACGATGGTATAGTTGTGGACCGACTGTTTACGATACATCTCATATGGGTCATGCTAGGTATTTCAACAAAAATTCTATATTTAATCTAATTTGTCTATTTTAAGATCGTATATTTCATTTGATATTCTTCATCGTGTTATGGCTGATTATTTTGGTTATGATGTTCTCTATTGTATGAATGTAACTGATGTTGACGATAAAGTAAGTGTATTATTGTTATTAAAAGACTCTATCGGATAAGATAACTACTCTTCATTCCAAAAGTCATCTATATAATTTTGTAGAGCAGATCATATCGCATTGAATGGTACATAGTAGATTACTTTTTCATCATATGTCTCTAAATCAATCTATATGAAATTTTGTTTACAGTTGCTTCAATAGAGTTTTTATTTGGACTTCGGTCATGTATATTTCATAATTCTTGCAATAGCTTTCTTCGTATCGAAAACCTTAATATTTTTACTAACTTATTTAATTTTGAACTTTAATGATTTCATTACACTTTTCAATACTGTTCATGATGGCAAAAGCGGTCAACTTTTACAATGTTCTCAGAAATTGTATGTCGTAGTCAAATAGACCAATGAATGTCTTAAAAAAAAAAGACCGATTTTTCGATTCTTAAGGAGAAGAAAGTACACAAGTTTTACGATCAACACTTTTTGAGTGAAAAAATTTATATGTATTAATCATAAGTTCAACATAACCTATCATTTGACATTTATGGATCTTTTGAAAATGGCGAAAAAATTTTTCGCTTTTGTACTCGAAGAGGAAGTATGAGAACGTGCCATTTCAAGGGTTAATTTTTATTTTATTTTGTTCCTGAACAATTTACGCTATGAGTAGCCAGATGTGTTTAGAGTATGAATCACGATTAAATTCAATATATGTTCGATCTCTTATGAGAATTCAAAGTTTTGTACATCTCCGTATGTCTGAAAGGGAACCTTTTTTTTGCGATTTGCGACATATCCATTATATATCAAATGATAGATCATGATGAACTTATTATAGTTAGATATAAAATTTTCAAATCAAAAAGTATTCATTGTAAAACTAGTATACTTTTCTGGTCTTAGCAATAGAAAAATTGACTTTTATTCGCTGATTTGATTATGATGCACATGAATTCAGAGGATAATCAATTGGTATAATGATAGAACATGATAAAGGCTAAAAACTAATGCAGCTCGTAAAAATTCTAAGGTTTTAGATATGAAAAAAAAGCTATGATAAGAATCATTAAATATACATGATTGAAGTCTATAGAAAACTCTATTGAAGTAACTGGAAACAAACTTTCATGTAATTTGATTTGAAAACCTACTGAGTCCTTACATTTTGGTACATCATACACAATTGCTATCATATCTCTTAACTGGTATATGCCTTCTCAGAACATTAAAATTTGAGAGGAAAGCGATTTCCTATATGCTAATCGATATGCTGTGAGTTGCTCTACAAAATGGTACAGACTGTTTTTCAAATGAAGAATGGTCATCTTATCCGACAACGTCCTGTTTTTACATCAAATATGTATTATTTTTTGTTTTGAAGATTATTAAACGAGCACGCGAAAGACATCTTATTAAAACTTATATGGATGATAATTCAATTGCATTTGAAAAAATTCTTGAAGATTGTCAACTTGCACTTAAAGTAGAATATAAAATTTTAAATTTCGTTGAATTAATTTTTTCGTTATTTTTTTGTAGCATGTACAAGATATTCGTGCACGTGAAACAGATAAAGATAAACAAACAATGTATGACAAACAAATTTCTGCAGTAGAAAATTCACTTCAAAATATTAATACTTTATCTGACGTAGAAACTAAACGAAAAGTAAATATATTTTAATGAATATACAATTAATACGAATTTTTGTTTTTTCATTTTTAGAAATTATTTACTGATTGTCATGATATACTTTCATCATATTTAGATGTTAATTATTCACATTCAACGAATCCATTAGATAATGAAGTTTTTCTTGCATTAGCTCGTCATTATGAATCAGAATATCATAATGATATGTCACGTTTAAATATTTTACCTCCACATGTATTAACACGTGTAAGTGAATATGTACCGGAAATAATAACATTTATTGAAAAAATTATTGAAAATGGCTATGCATACGAATCAAATTCATCGGTTTATTTTGATACAATTAAATTTCATAAACAACATTCTTATGCCAAATTGGAACCTGATCGGATGGGTGACATTGCCGCATTAAGTGAAGGTGAAGGAGCATTAACAACAGCTTCCACCACCAGCAAAGAAAAACGAAATGAATGTGATTTCGTCTTGTGGAAAAAGAGCAAAATAGGTGAACCAGTATGGCCATCACCCTGGGGACTTGGTCGTCCAGGGTGGCATATCGAATGTAGTGTGATGGCCAGCACAATTTTAGGTAAGAATCCATTTGCTGAATGAATTTTTTTTTCATCGTCAACAAAAGGGATCTAACTATTAAGGTTTTCTATACAGATTAAAGAATTAATAATATAACTAAAAATGAAATTGAACCTTAAACTTGTTGCTGATACGCATTAAAACTAAATGTTTTAATCTTGTAATTCTATGTCAACAATTTTATTTAGAATGACTTTCTCTTCGAACTTTGTCGACTTGTAAATTTCACGTACGACATAGATTAATCTATTTGATTAGATAACTGAGTTAGCAACATGATCGTCTCTGTATCATGAAAAAACAAAAAGAACTAATTTTTATTTTATTTTATTTTTAGGCTCTCAATTTGACATTCACACTGGTGGAATTGACTTAAAATTTCCGCACCATGACAACGAAATTGCTCAATCAGAAGCCCACTATGACAGTGATACATGGGTGAATTATTTTCTTCATAGTGGTCATTTAACAATAGCTGGATGTAAGATGTCTAAATCATTAAAAAATTTCGTTACAATACAACAAGCACTTGAAAAATATACATCAAGACAAATTCGTTTGTTATTTTTATTACATTCATGGTCGTCAACATTGGATTATAGTGATCATGGTATGGAAAAAGCTTTAAGTTATGAAAAAATGCTCAATGAATTTTTTCTCAATATTAAAACACATTTACGTTCAATGAAACAATTAAATCATTCAAGTGCTTATACAAAACTCGATGAAAATGATCTACAACTCAATGAACGTTTTTCAGCAGCAAAAAAACAAATTCATATCGCATTATGTGATTCCATTGATACACCAACAGTCATGGAAAATATACGTCATTTAATAACAACAACAAATATTTACATGAACAGAACAAATGCAATTATTAATCGTCTTCTTTTACGTAATATAGCTGCTTATATAACACGTTTAATTGATATTTTTGGTTTAAATGCTACTGGACCATCAATGGATGACATTGGATTTACTCGATCAAGTGAACAACAAACATCATCAATTAATGTTGAAGATATAGCTATGCCATATGTTGAGCAATTTGCTGTATTTCGTGATGCTGTACGTACACAAGCAATTGCAGTTAAGAATAAAGAAATTCTTACATTATGTGATCATGTACGAAATGAAATTTTACCAGAATTAGGTGTACGACTTGAAGATCAAGGTATAAATTAAATATTTTTCTTTTTCTTGATAATTATTTTTTTTTTTGTTTTATATAATAGCGGGTACAAATAAAGCAACAATAAAATTTTGTGATCCAGAAATATTAAGACGTGAACGTGAACAAGCATTATTAGTTGAAAAAAGTAAACAAGAAGAAAAAGAACGACGAAAATTAGAGCTACAATTAGCTAAAGAAGCAAAAGAAGCTAAGAAAAAAGCAAGTAAAGAAAAAAAAGTATGACAAATCAAATGTTTGATAGCTTTTTTTAACAATATATAATGTTGGTTCTATTTTTAGAATACTGATTCAAAAAATGCAACAGAACCAACTAATGTTGAAACTGTTACTAATGGAGCAACGGCCATGACTGATGGTGACTCTTAAAGTTCGCATTCATTTTTTTGTCTACTTTTATTTCATTTTAATCATAGTTGTTTTTTCTTTTTGTTGTTGTCGTTACACTGAGGGTTATTTAATGCTCGTTTATTTATTATTCTCTATTTTTGTTATATCAACAATGATTGAGGGAAATGAGAAGAAGAGGATGTGTTTTGTTCAAGCGCTTGTTTTTGTTTTGTAATAACATTAAACATCAAACATTAAAATATATCAAGATGTTATAATCAATGTTTTTTTTTCTTTTATTCTCCTATGATTGATAAATACAAATAGAGAACGACATTGGAATGATCATAGACCTGTTGAGAAGTATTTTTAGTTACCAAAATGTGTTTACTGTAAAATCATCACCAAATGTGTTATTCCTATGGTAACAGATGGTATAAGAATAAAAATTACACTTTTATAAAAACAGAAGAGACGAAGAAAGTACACAAAATAGAATAAACAGTACAAACTGGAAGTGTGTGGGTGTGGATATATAAAATGAAGGCCAACACACACACACGCCTACACCTTTATTTTTACCCATGCTAAATCAATGGAATCATTTTGATGAAATGAAATCATTATTATTATTTAAATTTATCTTGTCAATTAATTAGCTTTTGAAACAAGTGCATCAGTTGACACAAAGACACCATTGATTACTCATAAACACTAAGTTTCTATCACTCATATTGCATTAACGCGTTTAGTGATCCAAAGTATCTTCTTCTGGTAATCAAAAGGCAGTTTTTCTGTTGGACTTGTTGACGAATATAGAAAAACAATTGACTCTCAGACATCACTAAACAGTTCGATAGCCATTAATGTTTGCTGTTATTAAATCAGTTATTTCATATTAAGTAATTGATTCAATTGTTGTGCTGGAGACTAAATAGCATACAAACTGGTTATTTAATAAGTGTTGATATACACAATGAATGATTGCAAATAAACGATTCTAATCGTCATTATCGTTGAACATATTTTAACGTATAAAATGGAAGAAGTTTGTTGGTAGAGAAAAGGCTTTAGACCATCACAAAAAGATATCATTCCTTACCCTGTTGCTTTGTAAAGAGATAGCACATCACGCCATCACAAGACATCCTATCAACATACAATCAATTGAGAAAAACAAAAAAGTAAATAAATACATATTCTCTTAAGAATCCTGATGAATATGTGCCTCTTGAAACAGTATTCTTTTTTAGCTTTTTTTCAATTTTACTTCATCACGGTATTGTATTTCGACTTTTTTTAAACAATATTAAAGCATGCTCGAACACATTTCACACCGTCTGCATTTTTGTGTCTTCTTTTGCAACTAGAATAAATCCGGTTTGTAAATTATTTTTTCACCGAAATATGAGAGAGTTGACGTCAATCATCTGCATTCCATAGGTCTCATGAAGAAAGAAAAATCTGCTAGTTATTGTAAGCCAATAATAGAAAAAAAGTAAACACTTGTCGTAATTAAAATATTCATGTTGATGCGCGTTCTACGATGGTATGATTTAGAGATTGCTTGCAGAAATCAAAACTAGAGACGAATATTTAGAAGCTTTTCTAACAGTGTGAGTCCTTTACATGAATGTCGTACATACGAAAATTTACAACATTATCCTCATATTTCTTTCACTAATTCTATTATTCGATCTTACATAGATTAGATTTTTCAAGAAGAAAACTTCAAAGAGAAGAATCTCGATTGATGTCGCGCTTTGGAGCTGATATTTTGTTGATAATTGGAATTTGGTGATACTGATAAAACTCCAAATGGATAGTTCTTTTGCGTGGCCTGATTGACATCCTAATCCACCTATCTACATCCGAATACCCACACCTACATCCTTCTCAGGTCACACTGTTATGGTGTTAAATTCAAGATGTGGGTGTTAGTACGGCTGTCGGTGGATGTGTGGATTGAGATAGATATACGCTTCTAGTAGTGGATGTCGATGATGATAAATATATGGATTAGCGCGTGGGTGAGAATACTGATGAGGATACACAAAAAATCCTCAATGAAATCCATAGTTACAAACTAGCGACGAATAGTTTTGCAAAAAATTGTCCAGTCACTCTCTGATTGAGTTGAAAATTTAAAGCTTGAACCTAGATGAGTGCATATAGTTGCGAATGTCGGTGAATACCTAGATGAAGATTTCTACCAGTGTAGATGTAAGTATTTCTGTTGATGGTTGTTATCTTCACTCACGTTGCCACCTCTTGAGTGCGTATCTTGCTGTAAAATCATATTTTTAAAGCAAATGTTACCTGAATTGAAATGCTCGGTAAAAATGCTTATTTTGTTCCAAGTTCATTTCTACAGTATTTAAAATTTATGAAAGAGTTTCTATGAACCTGCTCGAAGAGAATTTCGAAACAATCCGAATGGAAAAATCATACTAGGATGCTGATAAATTTTTTATCAATATCTTTTCTTAAAGTGAGAATTTCATCAAGAAACAGTCAGATTTGTCTATGCACTCTATATCCAAAATACTCACTTTTGCAGAGAAATTATTAATTTATTATGAATTAATTTATGGACCTGCTATCGTCAATGACAGACCAGTCAATCACGCCAAATGCTTCAATAACAGGTATTCTTGATTGAACACATTGTTTTTTTTTCACTTCCAATAAAAATTGCTTTGTTTTAGATGCTTTCAATCACAATCCAGCGACCTGGTCAACGTTCGATGTTGCCACATGGTTGAAATATTGTAATCTCGAACAATATGCATCTGTTTTTCAAGGTATTGTTAATTTGTGTAACTTTTCATTAAAAACATATTCAAGCAATATTGGTTTTTGTTAGAGAATGAGATAGATGGCAGTGTCTTGATGGATGATGATTTTGATGAAACAAAGATCAAAGAACTTATACCTATGATGAAGCATCGGCTATTATTTATGAAGGAACGAAAAAAACTTCGGTTCGTTTCCATGTCAAACAATTTTGGATTGTTATCTTTCTGTATAAATAGAGAGAACAAATCGACTACTTCTCAATCAGTAATGATCAATGCACTAGATAGTTCCAAAAAATCCATACAAACAGTAAGAAAAATTAGGTAATATATTATTGCATTGCGTGTTATATAGATTGAAATCAATTCAACCGAATCGTTGTCTAAGCTTGTTGAAGAAAAGCTGTATTGTTCTGGTAATTAATAATGTATTATTCAAAAATAAAAAAGATAATTACATTCTGATTAGTTCGTACTGGCACGAAAGCACAATGTAAATGGGACGTCAACACAAGCAATATTGTTCGGCTTGATATTGCTGAGCTGCTTCAACCGTGGAATGTTGTACACACCTTAACTATTCCCAATGTACTAAGCACTGAAGCTTCAAATCTGCTGACTAAAATATTTGGGTATCTGCGCGTAACTCCACAGCTAGACGAGTTTGATTCTGATTTTAATGTTATCGTTGACGAACCAATTAACATTGAAATTCTTCTTCAAAATATTAATTCTTCTCGTTCTCTAAAATCTTATATTATCGATAGTTTGAAGCGTTATCATGGCCTATCCGATGTTATGCACATACTCTCGTCTTGTCTCAATTCCACTAGAAATGATAGTTCCTTGGAATCATTTCTAGATATTGTCGAACAAGTTACTAAATATATGCTACTCGTATGTACGATAGAATCGTTATCTTTCGAGAGTCAACGATTTCTAGGAAATATGATACGTAAAAACGATTTACCTATTCCACTGGCTTATTATACACGTGGTGCGAATGAATTCGAATTTAAAGTTAACTTCAATACACTTGCTGAAACTTTTTGCTATGCCAACGAGCACATTATTTTGTATCTTGGCAGTCCAACAGCAATTGGACTCGGTAAAACAAGTGTTCTACCATATTTATTTGAAAACATAAGAGGTGAGCAATTAAATACAGAAGGGAATACACAACTAAGATCAAGCTGTATTGACACCATATTTGCTTCATTAACAAAGAATGATTCATACATTGTGTTTGACGTTCATGGAACGATAACTACAATGAACGAAGATTTAATTACTGCGATTCAGCACTATTCTACTATACAAATTCTCTTCGTGACTGAATCTGATTTACAAAATAAAGATTTTCTGCTAAAAATAATGAATTATTCGACTGAAACACGTACAAAGTCAACGATCGTTGTAATTTTTGATCCTAAATACGGTGAGAGAAGTAATTTGTCTTATGAAATATTTCAAGAAGTTTTTGCTAATGAAAACTGGTACAATACATTCTGGATCACTGCACCTATACTAAGCAGAATGGCGACAGGGTCAAAATTTAATGAAGAACGACGATTAAAACTCTTGCGACAAAGTCTCATGGAAACTTTCAATTCATTGTTGATGGATATTGATATTCAATCAAATTTTGAGTCTATATTTGCTATTCAAGTACACTTTTTAAAAATTAAATCAACAAGTAACGCTCCTCCGCCACTCTTATACACATTTGAAATTCAGGAAACGCTTGAGTCTCTATTTAAGCGATTGTCTGACAAAACTGATAACCTAAAACTTGTAACACCTATCACTTATCTAGAAACTGCTAAACTTAAGTGTGAAAAAGAGTTATCTCAACTCTGGGAAGAGTCATCCATTGACTTAAATTGTCAGCTGGAACAAATTCAAAAAGAATATCAATCTATCGATCGTATCCCTGAATATACAATGTTCTTTATCGATCTGCTTATAAAACATCCCTATATCGAACTATTAATAACGGAAAGATATTTGAAGTTATGGCGCACTCAGTATGAGTCATCTTTGTGTAGTCAATTAAAAGCAGCAAAAAATGATATTATGACTGTTATGTCCCGTATTAAGCATCTCGAAGAACAATGTCAACGATATACTGACAATAGCAATCAAGCCGAAATCGAAAACACGCTTAACCAAATGCAATTGTTAAAAGAGGATTACAACTCATGTCAAAATCGCATCATCGAAATTGAGAATCAGTTATTC